ATTGAATGATAGAATGATCAATAATTAATAGTGAATGGATAGAGTAGTATTTTATATAATATATAATATTCTATCTGTTATATGTAATGATATTTATTTAATACATTTGCTATCTTAAAGACAATTTTTGTCTTTTATTACTTAAATCTCATCTATGTGTGATATGATATGGTTTATAATGTAGTTATAAAATAATACTTTCTGAGAATTGAGTATTATTACAGCACATGTATACTGGTAGCAAATGTGTTATAATATCTACATCAAATTATGTTTTAATATTTCTGTTTTATATTTTTTTGTAAAGAAATGTATATTAGTTATTAAATTTTTTTTTGCATAATTTTAAATTACTTTTCTAAGTTGTAAATAATGATACAATATATAAATAAGAGTTATATGAAACATTTCAAGTATATTAATAGCAACATGAATTATTTTAGTTGAAGCAGCTATACTAAGAAGTTCGACCTTTTTAAAGCCTAATCCGTATATAGAATTCTCAGTTGATGATAAAAGTCCTCGTAAAACAGAGGTGTCAAAGTCCACATATCAACCAAAGTGGAATGAAGAGTTTACTATACTTGTGACACCATATTCACAGTTGCATTTTCGATTACTTGACCACAGTACATTTCGCAAAGATACACTGATAGGAGAGAAACGGATAAGTCTATTTCAAGTGTTATCACATTATAATGGAAAATTAGAAAATTTAGAATTGACATTTGATTTAATGAGTGAGAGCAAACATGATTCTCAACTGTGCAAAGTCGGTGAATTAATTACGGTGTTTAATGGACTTAGAATTGATACCACAAATGAGACACCACTAAGTATTAGTGAGCCGCCCTGCCAAATACAATCTGATGGTAAAAAATAATTTTATTATTAACAAATTGTGAAAATTAAATATTAATGTTTAAAGCAGAAATTTGTTTAAAAATACATTCAAATCAAATGCTGCTAATAAATTTATATCGTAATATTGTTTTTCGTATCTTACAGTATACATCTTAAATCTTTACAGTTTTAGGTGCCACAAACAATGATGCAATCAATAACCGAAGTATTCTCAATGGTGGAGTTCGTGCACGTATGAGATTACATAGTTCAGAGAATCTTATGCCGTCTGTATGTCGTGGTTTGACAAATATTCATCTTAATCCCAACAATGGTGGAAACAGTCAGACAAATAATAATAAAAATGTCGGAACTTCTATTGCGATCTCATGTGCGGACGGTACATCGAGTAGCAACATCGGTAACAGCAGTAGCAGCAGCAGCCTTTCCACAAGTGCTTTGGTGAATGGACACGCAATTCCAATAGCAGATAAATCTATGGTATCTCCGAAAAATCGACATGCCGCGGATGTACGAACTTTTGCAAGTAGATTGGCCGTTAAAGACGAGTCTTCAGCGTCATCCAATTCGTCGGAAAGTCGAGTGTATACACGGGGCAATTATTGCAATGCGGAACAATCCGCTATGATCAAATTGGATTCACGCAATGTTCCGCGATGCGAGCAATCTTCGATTATTCCGGGACAACAGATATGTGCTGATGCTTGTGGAATTTCTCGACAAGATCAATCGACGCTTCCCAATGCGGATAGTTCTGGTCCTTCAGGTCAAATGGACCTGAGTGCTTCACCACATGCGGATGTACATAGCGGTAGTGCTCTGCGAATAGAACAACCGATTGTCGCGACTCTTCCAGACGGTCGTGTAGTGACACGATCGGAACAATCGATGAATATTCTTTTGACGGAAGATTTATGTACGCGACAGCCAGATCATACGACGAACATTCGACGATTAAGCGTAAATGAGGATCTGTGCCCGGCAACGAGACAAATGGAACAGTCCACCACGAACATTCTCGTATCCGAGGACTTGCGTGGAATGAGACAGCACGCCGATCAATCCGCAAACTCGATTCGTGTGACGGAAGATTTACGAATTCCTCGTGCGGAGCAACCGATAAATACGCAAGGCGCTCTGGATTTACGTGGAGTGTCGCGCAGTCAACAAAACACGAATATTTCCTTGAATGACGGTCGTGCGTTGATTTCTCGACCGGAGCAATCGACAATGATTCCTCTGACCGAGGGGCGGCCGAATTCTATCGCGGAACATGTATCTCCAGCTGTACTGCCAGATCTTCGTTCTGGTGTTCCACGAATTCTGCAAACTACGGCTACGTTGCCTAGTCAATCCGTTGCCGTGCCAGTAGCTGGGCAATCTGTCGCGCAATCGGGATCCTCGGTGCTGCTTGCTGAAGAAGTCGGCCATTCTGAGGAACCATTGCCACCTGGTTGGGAAATGAGATACGATTTGTATGGAAGGAGGTAAAATACACATTGGTTAAATATTTGGTAAAAATTGTAACAGAATTTAATTTTTTATCTCTGTTGCATTAGATATTATGTCGATCATAATACTCGAAGCACGTCTTGGGAAAGACCTCAACCTTTGCCTCCTGGATGGGAAGTTCGTCGTGACCCAAGAGGTAGAATCTATTATGTTGATCACAATACGAGAAGTACGACGTGGCAAAGACCAAATACGGAAAGATTGCAGCATTTCCAGCACTGGCAGGGTGAACGACAATATGTCGTCCAACAAGGAAATCAAAGATTTCTTTATCCCCAGGTGAATAACATAGAAAAAAACGTAGTTTTAAATTTACGTAAATAAACGTTGTTTTTTAAATTTAAGAAAATCTATATAAATTGTATAAAATGTAAATGGACTGCGATTGTTATATTATCAGCCTCATGGAAATCAAGCTGCTGCGGGTCTGTCGACATCTGTAGCCGACGACGACGACGCTCTGGGACCATTACCGGCTGGTTGGGAAAGACGAAAGCAACCGGAAGGAAGAATTTATTATGTAAATCATAAGAATCGAACTACGCAGTGGGAGGATCCCCGAACACAAGGTCAAGAAACCGGAATGGATGAACCACCGTTGCCGGATGGCTGGGAGATACGTTTAACTGAAGACGGAGTTCGATATTTTGTCGATCATAACACTCGAACCACGACATTTCAGGATCCAAGGCCGGGTGCACCCAAAGGGTTCGTGTAAATTACATCGTGACAAATTACATATGCTATCTGAAATCTGACAATCCAACATCTCTATCCTGTTTCTTTTGTGCAGCCCGAAAGGTGTATATCGTGTGCCAAGAGCGTACGAGAGATCATTCCGATGGAAATTGTCTCAATTCCGGTTCTTGTGTCAGACTAATGCGTTGCCTAATCATATTAAGATTAGCGTTAGTCGACAAACATTGTTTGAAGATTCCTATCATCAAATAATGAATGCAGAAGCCTTTGCGCTAAGACGGAGATTATATATAATATTTAAAGGAGAGGAAGGTCTGGATTATGGAGGTGTATCTAGGTATGACACATACAAGAAAGTTATTAATAATATTGCATTGTCATCTTTATTATCAATTATCAGTGTCTCATTATAAAGAGCTATTATGATGACCTTAATCTATTCTTTTTTATTAAATTATAAGTGTAATGAGAACAGATAATCTGTTTTATTATCAATAATTAGTATAATTATACACTGTAGTTATTTTAGCCAAAATTACAAATGTAAATTGAAAATGATTTATATAGAATAAAAAAACCTGTGCTAGAGCAAACTCTCTCTCTAGTGACTACATAAAAAATTAAAAGACGTTTTATCTAGTAGCTATGTTCATTTATATGACACAGGTTTTCTTTGTTGAAAATTCTACTAAAACTTGCCATACAATGATAGCTCTTTATTTGATTCCAATGTCACAGGAATGTTAAGAGAAAATGTGTGATTTTCAGGGAATGGTTTTTCTTACTGAGTCACGAAGTTTTAAATCCAATGTACTGCCTATTTGAATATGCCAATAAAAGCAATTATAGTTTGCAAATAAACCCAGCATCATATGTCAATCCCGACCACTTGCAATATTTCAAATTTATTGGCAGATTTATCGCAATGGTATGTTTTAATTTTTTCATTTTATAACAATTTTCTTGCTTCTTTCGCATCATTGTATAAATACAACTATATATGTAAATTATCTTTTCTTGTTTTTTGCAGGCTCTTTATCACGGGCGATTTATATACAGCGGATTTACAATGCCGTTTTATAAACGCATGCTGAATAAAAAATTGGTTATGAAGGATATAGAATCGATTGATCCTGAGTTTTACAAGTCTCTCGTGTGGATAAAAGAAAATAATATTGATGAGTGCGGCCTAGAATTGTATTATAGTGTGGATTTTGAGATTCTTGGTCAAGTAATACATCACGAATTAAAAGAAGGTGGCGATAAAGTTAGAGTAGGCGAAGAAAATAAAGAAGAATACATCAGGTACATACACTTTTTCTAACAAACAATTAATTTCGAAAAAAATACAAAAATGGAAACTTGCATTTCTCTTATACATCTGAGGTAGCAAAGTTTTAAACCCAACTATTCAACAGGTTAATGACAGAATGGAGAATGACAAGAGGTATAGAAGAACAAACAAAAGCATTTTTGGAAGGCTTCAATTCTGTTGTACCTCTAGAATGGCTCAAATATTTCGATGAACGTGAACTGGAACTCATGCTTTGTGGCATGCAGGAAATAGACGTTGAAGATTGGCAACGCAATACAATTTATAGACATTACACTCGTAACAGTAAACAGATTCTGTGGTTTTGGCAGGTTTGCTATTAAGTTTTTTATTTAGCAATTAAATATTCAATAATTTTTCTAATTTTTTTCTAATCACGTTATTTGTATTTTAGTTTGTAACGAGAACGGACAGCGAAAAAAGAGCTAGACTGTTACAATTTGTGACTGGTACTTGTCGTGTACCTGTTGGTGGATTTGCTGAATTAATGGGTAAAGCTATATAAAAATTACTTTTCCTATTGGTATAATAATAATAATAATAGATTTTTTATTCCATTTTATGGATTTATGGTAATGAAAAAAATTGATAAGGATCACAAAATAAGATGTGATTAAAATCATTAATATATTATTATTAGCTACTCATTTAAGATATGATTCAATAATAAGGATAAAATAAATAAAATAATAATTACAAAGAGGGTATCGAGCCATGCATGCTGTCGGTGCTATCCCTTTTCTTGTATTTATTATTTTATTTATTCACACGAGCCTGTGAAATTCTATTTTATTATTAAAGATAAAATAGTTAAACTTTTTTGTAAAAATAGTCATGCACTTTAATGTCACTTAACATGTTACAGGGAGCAACGGTCCACAAAGATTTTGTATAGAGAAGTTTGGAAAGGATACCTGGTTGCCAAGATCACATACTTGCTTCAATAGACTAGACCTACCACCTTACAAAAGTTACGATCAATTAGTAGAAAAACTAAATTATGCGATTGAAGAAACAGAAGGATTTGGCCAAGAATAATTGTAAATATGCTAATGAATGAGTAGGTACGCTACTACTATTTATATATGATTAACAGATGGCAAAACAAAATTTAGGGTAATAGCACAAACTAAAATACGGTAAATGAGTTTATGCTACGTTCAAAATTTGTTGAGTGCAATTATTATTAACATTGTAAAAGTTTCGAATAATTAAAGATGTTTATAGGTAAATTGCCCAAAAATTTGTATAAAGCGTCATAAATTATATGCAAATAATGTAATAATTCAAATTAATATCCATTTATTCTAACATATTTTGTATCTTATTAACATTTTTTGCTTAATTATTGAAGAATCATTGTGAAATTGCATAAAATGTTAATAAGATATGAAATTTATATATATTACACAAAGACACACATACATACACACACACATATATACACAAAAGAGATGGGGCACGTAATTGGAACTATTTCGATAATATTGTAAATATGATGTTGATTTTAGCGAAAATTGATCCAGATAAATATAGCATAATTTGATGGAGACTGTGTAATGCAATATTTAAATTATTTTTGTTATTTGTAGTTTGCAAGATTTTAAGGTCACTTTTATTGCATGTTACTTTTATTTGATGTAAAAGTTAATAAAATCCTAATGATGAGTTGTTCAATTTAAAATAAATGTGTGAAATATGTTTGAAGGTCATATTATTAAACAATTTTTATTTAAAAAACTAAAGGTTGAGAAACTTGAAAACTATAAATGATAAAAATAGTTTGAACATTGCATTACATGGCCTTCTTCAAATTATGCAACATTTATCTGGACCAATTTTCGCTAAAATCAATATTTGCGGCATTATTGAAGTGATTCAATCGAAGTTAATTCTGTCCCACCCTGTATATAATCATATATATAAACGTATTATAAATATATATATATATTTTTGGGGGAGGGGTTTTCCAGCAAAAAAAATAGACACTGTGCCATGCAATTAAACACAGTGCATAAGTGCTTGATAGAACACCTTTTAATTTTCGACATAATCACTAATTCATGTTAACATAAGTTTTTTGATTCTGTACCATAATCTTTAATACTTATACTTTGCTGAAATAACTGCAATATATAATAATTCTTAATATTAAAACATACTATTTGTCTATTAAATTTAAAAAAAGTTATTTTTTATTTTGACATAGCCATAAGTTTCATATCTTTAATAATTTATTAGACAATAAAATTTTTGTAATACATAAAATTTTAAAAATTGCTGAAAGTGATGAGCATAATTTTGACAATAATTTTTTATTTTACTTTGTAATTGTGCTGATTCGTATCGATTTATCGATTGCAATAAAAGCACTCGTATTGACACTGTGTCACACTTGGTCTTTGCTGGAAAACACCCATAAATATATTAGGAAATTAGATGAATATGTACAATCTAATTTGTTCTTTTTTGTAGCATATACTAAAAAGTTATTTTAATGTTTTAAAATTAATCTATCTTGATGAGGAAAAAAAGAATAAATAATTTTTATGATATAATGTTGCAATCCAATTTGACACTTGTCTACACAACTTGTCTACTTATGTTTGCCACAATTTACAAGTCGTAATGCTATATATACGAAAACAATGAAAACTAATAGAATAATAGTTTTTACTATATTTTAATATTTTTTATTGCCTAAATACATGAAGCTTGCAAATTTCTCTTCATATAATAATATATATATATAATGTACATATGAAATTTATATAATTATGAAATATAATGTGTTATAGGCGATTACAATTTTATGTTCTATCCTAGGAAATCTAGATGTGGAATGACAGTAGTTATTTTTTGTATATAATATAGTAAATAATAATTTTATCTCCTTAGATATATATTATGATTATCTGTTATATACAATCAGCCAATAGAAAAAAATTTTCAGATATTTTTATTATTTTGTGCTTATCCGCCTATTCTCTTCTTGACTATATTGTCATTTATTAGAGACCTACTAACACATTGTATGTTGCCTCATAAGTGTGACCATATAAAGTTACCTGAAAAATATTATATCAAATATTTTTTAACATATTATTTGTAATACTGAATTTTAGGAATCCTGGGGTTGTAATCATAAAATTGTGCATTTGTTTATAACTAATTTATGTACATATCTATGCAGATGTATACAATTATTTATGTGTATGACTATATAAAATGACATATGCATAACATATTGGGCACTGTTTAAATATGCATAATATATATCCGAATTTATTACAATTATACATATAAATAAGTCATTTATTGACGATAGATATTTCATAATTATAATAAATCATAGTTTAGGATTTATTTATGCATTATTAGAGTATTGAGTAAAATGGAAAAGTGGTATATGTATTACTTATATAATTTATATTTAGATATTCTTATAAGACTTTTATGAAAGAAAAAAAAAACACGTAAAAACTGCGTCAAAAATTTCTTTTACGAAATACGTTCCTACAACGTGCTTAGTACATTGCTATCGCAAGTGATAGCATCAAGTTTATGTTATCTTATAATATTAACTCGTATAAACATATTTATGGATAGCTTTAATTTAATATTTTGTTGCATGCATTTTATTTTATTCCTCGTATTTCGGTATTTAGAATTGTTTCTAATATAATTTAAAACAATGTGATTATATGTATTTGAAATTAGAAAAAAGGACTGATTTAAAAATTATAACAGGGCATTGTTATAAAAATTTTATATGCGCGAGTATAAATTATTTGTTGCCGAGTGCTATAAACATAAATCAAGAATTATAAAGTGGATATTTAAATACATATGTTATTTGAAAAAAATCGCTCAAAAACATTCAAAAGCAGTGTATAATATTAAATGCATGCAAACACACGGTACTTGATATTAAGATTAACGCCTAATACCTGAGAATCATACAATGTAAAAACAGGTTAAACCTTTAGAAGCGGTAATACTATTTATCATTCCTAACAATCTTATTTTTTCAAGTGAGATTATTCAGTTGAATAAATTTTAGAAAAACTTCTTTGCATAAATTATAAATTTTATTAAACATATGTATATATAATATATATGTACAGAATATATAATCCATTAAATAAAGTTTATAGTTAGAAATTAAAGGAGTTTCTAACTTTGTTTTATTTACTTTATTAAATATCTAATGTGGATTACAAGGGAGCATGTTTTATCTATTAGGAACAAGATACGACTTTCATTTTACATTTCATTTAATCTCTTGCTATAAAGAACCTCTTGGATAGAGAGCGAAAAATTTTTCCCATGGAAAACGATTGTGAGTTGTTGAATCATCATCATTTATGTTATTTTTTGCAGGTGGCCATTTTCCAGTGTCTGTTAATCCATCTGTAAATTTGCATAATTTTTTAAAATTTAATTAAATGACAAAAATTATAGTAAGATTGAATATCATAAGATATTTATATATTTTTCTATTATGCGATACAAACGTTTGGCCTAAAGTGTGCGTGTGTGCACACACATACTTAAGATGTTGAGAATTCTTTTTCTTTGTGAATCGAGTATGCTATCAATCGTTAATAAGAAATTTACATTAAAGTCTTTTTTTCATTTTAATGTTTAAGTAATGTTTATAGTTACATTGCTAATTCACATATTTATCATTAAAAAGTCTAAATAAACGTATGTGATATTAGAAATATAATTATGTATTTTTAAAATTATTTATTTTATAAATAATATAATTCTTCATACTTTTTTTTTTGAGAATAGACATATTTATATACTTACTTTCAGATATATGAAACACAGTCTCGGATCTTGTTACGTATCCATCTTTATCCCTTATTATAGTTGTAATATATCTTTTATCTCCAATTTCTTTTGTAACTATTGTCTTCATATTACCTTCACTATCTTTGAATATTTGTTTCTGCTCCATAGTTCCATCAGAATTGTGTATCCCTTTCTGAACAAATTGTTTAAAAAAAAAATTGTGCTGTGCGAAAGATTTTTCAATTTCTACTTTTTCCTTGTTTGTTTTGAAAAGTTTTTCCATAGTAATCCTACGCAGGAGAATATATATTACAAATTAATATACATTAAATATCTCTGAGATTCATAATTTAAAAATCAAAAAGAATAGTTATATTTATGTGAAAATATTCATTATTCCTTGACATACATAATTTGTATATTAAAAAATGTACAATTAATTTTGTGAAACATGTTAAATAAATGGTCCTATGTGCTTACTGTTTATCTAAATCTGTATCTATTTTCCGTTCAGGTAGCGTGCTTGCCTTATTAAAAAGTTCATCTGTTACAGATTTCAACATTTGGTCACGTAAATTTTCATTTTCTTCAGGTTCAGTAAATGGTAATGCTTGAATAGTTTCATCTCCTATAAAAAAAAAAACACTTGGTTAAAATAATATATCATTGTCTACATAACACATTTTACATAAAGTAGACAAACCATAAAAATTAAATCCAAAGAAATTTTTTAACATATTATCCATCTGTGACTCAAAGTAACGCGTCATTTTAACCGAATCGTTAAAAATGTTGAAATGCACGCCATTTCCATGATGCCTAAAAGATAATAAAAAATTAATAAATTCAAAATTTATATAATTCAAAATCAATACAAGTATTTTCATTAACCTAAAGTCATCTATGTCGTCGTCGTCATCGTCACTCTGCCAGATTGGATTACGAAAACTATCTCTGTGTGAATCATGATCACCGAATCTGAAATGTAACATTGATTTAATGCAATTTAAAATTATGAATACTAAAATACGAAACGTTAATTGTATAAATATTAAGAATAATTATGACATAGCAACATTAAAAATCTTACTCGCTTGTGCCAAAATCGACGTTTCGACGATTCAAACCGAGAAAACTTCGAAAAAAATCAAAGAATGACATTTCTAGAATACTTTAGACTGTGTAATAACCGCACAAACAACTCTTGTCAAAGTAACATGATAAAATTGGACAGAATTGCATCACGGTTTTCCTGGTTTGATCATATTTATGTTTTATGTAGTCAGAAACATGAAGAGTGTGTTCCAAAAGCACGATTGTAAGCGGTCAAATAACAGTCATCTATGATTGGCGCACACTTTTATATCCATCAATTAGATTCGTTTTCCAAAAACCAATCCTTGTTTTCTTGGCTATAATGACTCCGAGCCGAGAGAGAAAGAGTAAGTCTAAGAGGTGATGCTTATTCTGTCTCGCACATTTATCTTAGGTGGCTTGCGCAATGGCGCGGTACTCCCTCCATTCATGTTGTTTGCTTCTTGCGTCTCAAATCTGGCCACACTGAATCACAGACATAATTAATAGTGAGTGTCACGATCGCTCGGAATAAATGGAATAAACGTAGTGTTTACAATCGAACAAATTCTTTAACGAAGACTTCTTATTTTTCTTTTATTTATGTGAATCGACATAAGTAACTCTTCTGCACGATTCAGATTAAATAAGGCCGATAATGGTCTACTATTTAAATGACATCCGTGTAGGCTAAATCATGGTCGTATTACCATGATTTTCACGTTTTCACATCACATCTGTGTCGTAATTCCATTTCTGTGTACCTTTGATGTAGTGCGATATTGTACTAAGTACAGAGAAACATAATTTAGACGGAATTCGATATTTAGTTCTGTAACTTCTGACTTCGAGCTATAATGTGTGAGTGTTGTGTTATGATAATATTGTAGTTTCAAAACATTTTCAATTTATATTTTCAAGCAAAATTATTTTATGTACACTATTCTTAAAAATATTGTGGTTTTGCTTTAATGTTCAACCTTTTTGTTTCTTTAGTCTTTATTATTATTATTTTGTCTGTAGCATGTATTTAATCACTTTGTTGTTTACAGATGCAGTATTCTAGAATGATGAAAGCTTCTAAGTATCTAGAAAGCTTCTAAGATTCTGCGGAATCTTTTATTTCTTAAATAAATACTGTTTACAATGCAACACAATGAATACTCTTTCTGGACAGTTTCGCAAGACAATGTGGGATCCCATTCTCATAATTTCTCAAATAATTGCTGTACAGACTGTTATGTACTTCTGCCTTGGATTATTGATTTGGATCGTTGCGTCTATACTCGGATCAACAAAATCACTGGATTATGCCTTTCAATACAAAGAGATACATGTTCGTGACTTTGGAGGACGCTTGGTTATTGTTATGTTTATTCTGAATGCACTTGTGGGTGCATTTGCATTATGGTGGCTAGTGCAAAGAACCAAACTTTGCATGGATTTTGCATGTACAGCTCATTGGATTCATTTGATTTGTTGTTGGATATATAATGGAACTTATCCAATATCTTTCAGCTGGTGGTGTTTAAATCTTGTGTCGTTAAGTATAATGTGTGTCTGTGGAGAATTTCTTTGTATGAGAACAGAATTACAAGCGATACCTTTAAGTATGAATAGTCAGAAAACAGCTTTATGAGATAAAATGCAGATAAAATTTGTGAAATAGTAAAAGGAGCAATGTATAAATGAAATTTTGTTTAGTGAATATATTCTTATTATCAATGTTAAAATTTCTGTTATAAATATAATCAAAATTATTACTTAATTCTTAAAAGCTTTTCATAAATAAATACATTTTTTTAATACATTATACACAAATTTAATTTATCTTGTCTATAAATTAGTCTTATACATACATGTGTGTTACTGAGTATACTGGAGTCACATACACATTCTTACTCATAAGTGATTACAAATCATATATTAAAAATGCGACCGAGTAGAAATTAACTTAAAGAAAATGCAAGAGTACATGGTTGTGTAAAATAATTTGAAGACCAAGCTAAAGGCATTTTATTAAAAAAGATTTAAGAAAATGATAAAAAATTTTGCTTATTATATTTATCCATTTTAATCATGTTTCTTCCTGGAATTTCCTGAGCATGTCCAATCATTGTTCAAAGCAATAGAGATACTTTAAATAATATAGACATCCATTTAATATATATTGATTGTATATACGCCCACAAATATAAAATTGAACAATATTTCGAAAAATAATTTTAATAAATAAATCTATCATAATTTCAATATCTTTAACTTGTTTATTAATATTTAAATTTAATACATTATTTACAATTGAGATATATCATATACATTTTAGTTTATTTTGTTGCAACCAATGTATTGCATTTTACACTATATTTATAAGTTAATTAATATAACTACCAGTGTGAAATGGCCACCTAATGGTGATCTTCCTTATGAAAACGCAAGCCACAATAACCACAGGTATGATTACCTGGTTTATCCTATAAAGAAAACAATAAATTTGAATTTTTTTTATAAATAAAAATAAACATTTATTATAGATAATACAATTAGAAGTATTGAAAGCTATTCATTCAGGTATCCCTATTATTTTACAAAAGCATTTACTACATTCTTTATTTTTACACGTTTTCTTGGATGTTAGATGGAGATTAGTAAATGGAGAGAAGGATGCCAATCTCTATCCAACATTCAAGAAAAAATGGAAAAATAAAGAATGTAGTAAATGCTTTTGTAAAGTGGTGAGGTACCTGAATGACTAGCTTTTATAATGCTACTGATTGTACAATGCTATATATAATATTGTAACTAATATACTTCTTATTCTAAATCTTTAAATTAATATTATTAATATTATTAATTGACAAATTAGTAAAATAAAGATATCTCATGCATTGAATGATGTGTCTTACAAGATTTATGTAAACTTTAGGATGTCCAAGAGGACCACCACCACCATCACAAGCTACAATTCTTTCCTTTTTAAGGGCTGGTGGTACTTCATCTATCAACTTGATAGCCCAATTATTATTAACTTCCTTTGGTCTATTTAAAAATCTTACCAACCGATAATCATCTTGTTCAAACACCTATTAAAGAATATAATCGATTTAAAGAAAAAGCTCTTAATAGCAAGATAATATTTGTCAAAATATTATATATATAATATAGTAATAATACAGACTTTGATTATATTTTTGTAATTTTTAATGTAAGACCAATTAATGGCACTGTTTCAAAATACAAGACGCTATAATAAATTAACAAACACAATCTTTCATAAGAGAGTTCTAATGCTGAAAATAAAATAGCTTCAACATAGACTTAATTTTTCTGAAAATTTTTATACAATTCTCTTATAAAAAAATCATATTTGTTAAAAATTATTATGCAGTATATCTTATCTTCATACAAAAATAATATTGGTTGTCGAATTAAGCACAGATAGTGGAAAATATACCAACTATTTATACAAGATTAAGTAACATACATTAACATAGTAACCTATCTTTTATATAAAAGTGTAAATAAATAAGGATATCTTACTTGACCAGTGTGAGTTACTTGAGTATCACCTTCATTCACAGTTGCGTATGTACGTTGCGTTAATGTACTTGTTATAGATGTATTTCCTTTGCATAATTTGATGAAAGGAACACATAATTCGTTCATCCTTTTAGTCGCCATATTTCTAGATATCGCAGCATTCAAGGATGTTCCTCGGAGAAGGAGAATGTGTACTAGATTTGAGAGCAATTTTGTACTGAATTGTACTGACTACACGCGCTACCTATACTGCATTCGTATTAATCATGAATTGGCGGGATATTTAAATTGCCCTAACTGTAATTACTTGATTGTTTACATAAAATATACATTATAATTTATTATTACAAATAAAATAGATAAATAAACAATAAAAGTTATTTTTCTATATTTTTATTACAAATTGGTATTTATCACGAACTAAGGAATAGAGGGACTGAGTCTAAAGTCCTAGTTTAAGCGAGAGGGGATAGTAACTCAAGCGTGCGGGGGGGACTGCTTTCCGCCATATTGATGTAGCGATTCTCACACAGATAGCGTTTTCGAATAAACGGGGTTTGAACGATCTAGGGTTGATCAATCACTATTTTACTATAAATGCAAGTCTTTCATTGGTGGAGAGGTTGCAATGACGTCATTAACCAATCTTGGGTCGTTCAAATCCTGTATAATCGAAAACGCTATAGCCGAGAGCACAAGCTTTTACATAAAGCATAACGCATAAGCATAAGGAAATTGATTGGTCTATATATAAGAATAAGCAAATGCATAAGGAAATGGACCAATCAATTTCCTTATGCTTATGCGTTATGCTTTATGCAAAAGTCTGTGCTCCGGCCATAACCATCTATCCAGTCTATACTTATTACGTTTATGGTCGGCACTGACAAAATTCGTTGCTTGTAAGCGCCAATAAACGTGTGTAAAGTGTTCGATATTATAAAAACAATTCGGTTGTAATTTAATTTAAACATATTTTCCATTATTTTTATCAATTTTAATTTAATAGGCAAGTACGCAACGATATATTGTTTATTATTTATATACATTGAATATTGCAAGAAATTTTGTTGGTTATATTATATCTTTTTAATGCGTTATTGAACTTTCTAATTTGAATGAAAGAGCAATACATATTTAATTTTTTATAGAATGTAATTATAAAATTTATATAATATTTAATTATAAATTTATATTTAGTGATAGTACATATATTGAAGAATGTAAAAGTTACTCTAGATTTTAACATTATTTAATTGTTCACATATATTATATTTCTTATATTATGATATTTATGTATTTATATTAATGTAGGAAAATGGCTCAGTACATTGCACATGACATAAGCAAAAAAACTCGGACGAAAGATATAAAGATACAAGATGACGTCACATTTTTTCAAATGGGTTTCTCACAAAATATTTTGGATGGGTTAATAGTCGCTGGATTTCAAAGACCATCTCCTATACAGTTAAAAGCTATCCCATTAGGTCGTTGTGGATTTGGTAATAACATTGAATATATTACATATATATAAGGTAGATAAAGAATGACAATATTTATTAAGTGTTATAATTTGCAGATCTTATAACACGTGCAAAATCAGGAACTGGAAAGACGTTAGTATTTGGCATAATAGCTCTGGAAATGTTAGATATTCAGGTATCATCTCCACAAGTTTTAATAATAGCACCTACCAGGGAGATTGCTATTCAAATATCTCATGTTATTAAAGCAATAGGTTCAAAAATGGAAGGTATATTTAATCAGCAAAGTATATATATTTTTTAGAAACATTTCTTATTTTGATCTGTAAATAATTATTTGCTATTTTAGGATTAAGTGTTGAATATTTTGTGGGAGGAATATCAATAGAAGAAGATAAAAAGAAATTAAGCACATGCCACATAGCTGTTGGTGCTCCAGGCCGACTGGAACACTTAATTGAAAAGAGATTACTCAGAGTTTCAACAATAAGGTTACTTGTTCTTGATGAAGCAGACAAGTTGTTGGAGATTAATTATCAAAAAAGTATCAAGTGAGTTGATATCTGTTTTATCACGTATCTAATTATTAAACTAATTTGTAACAAATTTTATTGGATATATTTAGTACATATTAGTGTTTATTAAAGGTTGTTTTATATATATTGTTATAAAAATGTATACATTGCACTATTTATTATAATTATGTATTAGGTTATGTTTTATGTTCACATAAATCATTATCTATTAAATTTTAATCTGCATTAGTACGCAATAGTATATCAAATCATTATTAGTAAATTAAAAAAAAAGTTATAATTCTTATTTATTTTTTATAGTCACATAATTTCTAAATTACCAACCAACAAGCAAGTTATAGCCTCTAGTGCTACTTATCCTGGAGATTTAGAAACATTTCTGCAAGTATACATGTCTTCTCCAATATTAGTATCACCAGATCTTGATGGACCAATATTGATTGGGATCAAACAATTTGTGGCTGTGGTTTCTGTACATCCCAATTCCATGAAACAGGTTTTTGAATTTATTTTTAAGGGTTAAATGATTGAGATTTACTTATTTATAAAAATAGATTCTATACCATCTATTTATATTTTTAGGTACAAATAAAAGTGGATGAGCTAGTCAAAATTTTTACCAAGATTTCCTTTAAACAATGCCTAGTCTTTACAAATTATCAATCACGGTATGTAGTTGGTCGGTAAATAATTATTTATTGTTATTAATTGTTGCTTCATTAATTAATTAAAAAAAATTTTTTGTTGCAGAACTCAGTCAATAAGCAATAAAATTAATTTTAAAGGTTTTTCATCTTTACATATTTCTGGAAATCAGGACATGACTAATAGATTGGGTACAATTGAAAAATTGAGGAACTTTGAATGTAGAATATTGGTGACCACCGATCTAACTGCAAGAGGTATAGATGTAGAAAATATAAACATGGTTGTAAATTTTGATATACCTACGGATGCAGCGACATATTTACATAGAATCGGCAGAGCTGGTCGTTATGGATCTCACGGAATTTCTATTACAATTATTTCCGAAAATGAGCTTTTATCATTTAGAGAACTATTAACTTCAGTTGGTGGACCAAACTTTTATCTCTTCAAACTTAATTATGATTATGCGGAAGATGTTTGGGCTAGCGATACTGCAGTATTTGAGAAAGTTTATTCGAAGTCCGAGAAAAGTCGTACAGAGTTATCGGATATTGATAAAGCAATTCTTGAATCTGAAAACGGTATACCTATAGTATTACCTATACGTAAATTATCTCCAGAAGTCAATAGTACATCAAAAAATAATATTGCAAATTCTTCTGCTGTAAAACATAGTGAATGTGAAAGTGTTGAATTCAGAAACAAAGCGGCCAATGGTACGTCATCATCAGAAAATACTGGTATTACAAAACATAAGGAAAGTAAAAGCGATTTGTTGAAGCATGTTGCAAGTAATGGTACATCATTATCGGAAGAAAATATTTCGGATTTAACTGATATGAAAGATAATATATGTAAAAATGTTTCACCAAAGCATACAACAACCAGTAATACATCATCATCAAAAAGTGATATTACAAATATTATTATGACATACGAAAAACATAAAAGTATCTTGAAAGATGGAAAATGCCATGGAGTTGTTTATAATAATAAACGTTTGAAACAAAAAAAAACTAATCTAGATGAGAAAATAAAGATTAGTTCATTATTTGAACATTATGATCAAGGGAGAATTCAGAGAAAAGCAAATTTTCAACGATCTACTGATATTTCTGAGGAATGTAAAGAAGTATCAACTACTACAGATTCATCCGAGTCAAGAAATACACATAAATGTACGATAACACCTGATAGTTCAAATAGTCCTTCGCCTATGGAGCAATTAAATGAAAATATGTTCAAAGTAGATTTCTTAAATATGCAGGATCATAAGCTATCAAATGCTGACATTGAAAATATCAGTGAATACATGAAGTCTTTATTAAGCGATGAAGAAGAAAAAAATGATACATTGATTTCAGTTTCTACTTGTGAGAACATGGTGGATAACGAAAAAATTTCTCACGATATAGATTCTGCCAAAGATTCTGATTTAATGTATAGTTCGAAATCACCCATAAAAGAATCAGATAATAATAAGAACAATGAAATCTGGGATGAATTAAATAATTACTTATTAATGTATTCTAAAGAAATGAAGGAAAACAACAATGACACTTGTATAAATGATGAAAAATCTCTGGAGAAAGTAGCTTCCAACTGGAAAGAATTACTTGATCTTGAAATTAATTTATTAGATGATATGACCAAAAGTATGACCGACTCTATTCATAAACTAGTGTATGAAGAATATTGTTCTGCACTTAAAATTTTCCTTTGTATCCAAAAGCGGGCTTTCTTATGTGTTTTTCCACAATTTCGTAATGATGAAGAAGTGCAAGATACTTATATATATTCGAAATGTAATTCCGATAATAATTTGTTGGATATGTATAAGGAAATAGAAGGTTTTAAGAGTCGTTTCTATACATTAGGAAAGAAATTTAATACATATTTTCCTTATCCTACAAATATCGAAGAATATATGCCAAATTTAATGATATTAAACTCTGAAATGGAAGAATATCACAAAGCACTACAGTTTCTTAAAACATATGGAGATCCCAATAAAAAATTATTGGAAATAATAGATTATATAGCATTTTTAAGTGAAACTGAACATCACAATTTATTGCAGAAGATAAAAGATAAAAAGTTATCTTTTCCAGATATCAAGGAGTTTCTTATAGAAGAAATAGCAAAAAGAGACCTAGAAAATAGTAAATTAACGAAACATTTACAAGGATCTGAAAAATCGATCTCTTCAGAAAAAGATGATGAGTTAACAGAGTCTCTGCAAACGTTTGAAGAGCCAGTTTTATTGAAAAATCAGAATGATAAGACCGCTCATCAGAAACAAGATAAAACGGATGTTTCAAGAATAAATATAGTAAATAATACGAATCTAAAAACAAAGAAAACACAGGAAGCTTGTTCTAATGAAGTTACAGTTGTCAACCAAAATAAGCATGTAATAGAAAATACAAAATGTACTATTCCTATTAATACAATCTCTAATATTAACAAAGTAGAAGTAAGCAAAAACGATTCAAAAACGATTCAAGATTCAAACAATAGTAAAAAATTATTATTTCAAGTGAAGAAAAAGAACAATGAAGATAATGAAAGTTCTCGGAATATCTCCAGCGAGTCATCATTTATATCACCTAAGGATATTATATATTCAAGTATTGATAAAGTTGCATGCGACACTCAAAGAGAGTGGAAAATGATATCCACGATGAATAGTAAACAGAAACCTGGCAAAAAGATCACTAAAAAAGGAAAAAACAAGCAAATCAAATATATACCTATACAAACAAATAATATTGTTTATAATGATATAGATGATTCACATAGGAAACTTGTTGAACGAGCAAAAGCTTATAAACAACAGAATGATTTAAAGAATAGCAGAGATGCAGATAATTTAGCTAGTTTTGTCAGACATTCAAGTACATCAAATTCATATGAAACTACAAATACAAAGAAAATTTCTCAATCTTTATTAAATCCAACCGAGCAGCAAGCAGGCTTATCAAATCAAATCGATCCTTCCTGTCAATGGAGTGAGTATGTAGCCGCCGATTCTTGTCCTCGCACACACGGTAAGATACTATGGTTTAATGACGTACCATAATATTTAGAAGACTAATGGTTGTTTTAAAATTTCAGAAATTCATAGATTGGATGATAATATAACAAACGATACTCTGTACGAAACGGATATCGATAAGTTCCTATCATCTTTAAAAAGGCAAACAGATCAGTTGCATCTACAGATTTACAAGACTCAAATGTTTGAGAATTGGATTTCGTACGATGAATGATCATGGAATTAATTTAAAGAAAGAAGAAGGTAAAGTATGGTGGAGTAACATAAAAGAAGAGATTGCGAAAGAAAGATTAATGCGGCACCGCGGGCACATTTCGTCGGATCTTTTCTCATGATTTCTTTATGATGTAGCGGCAGCAAAGAATGACATGTGAATCGATCCACAGCGAAAGGTCACGCATTACTGATACTTAACACGCATCGGTAAGACGTGAACTGTGTGCCGCGAGTGACCTTTTCCTACCGATTCGACACTACCTGTGGTTATGTAATCGGAACTGTGATGGAATCTTGCATAGTTTTATTGATCAAATAGTGTATTGATTGTTAGTCAGGGGTAGAATAATTTCACATAATTTTTTGTGAAAATTAATATTTGTTAATAACATACATAAACATGTGTGTTATAAGCAACTGACTTTTTGTCTTACACAAGTATGTATATTTTCTTATGTATAAATATTTTTATATTAATCTGAATTATAATTATTAACAAGCAGTACAAAAAATATTACTCTTTTATACTTATGCAATGAAAATATTTATAAAAAAAAAGATTGAAGAAACATTTGCGAATATGTTTTTATTCTCCTCTAAACACTCCTAATTTTGTTAAGTGTAAAAATGGATTGTAGGAAAAAAATCTATTAAAAATGAGAAAATTTATCAATAGCAGTTTGCAATTTATTTAATCAATTGTTTCGTTAAATAACAGATGTTGAAATATAACATAATATTTATTTATTGATAATCGCTCGTTAAACACCTTTATTCTGTCAGGATATATAAATTTATCCATGTTAAATTGTCAAATGATACTCTACGACATTCGTCCACCGTATGCCGGCTGTGAGTTAGAAGGATCAGGTTTCTAAGGCATCCTCGTCCTTAGGGGGGACCGGGCTAAAACATGAGAAAAAAAAGAACCACCTTACGAAACTCGTCTCGTGAGAAATTCGAAGTAAACCCCTGTCCGGTGCCCTTATCCCTTTATTCGCGAAATGATCGTTTGAGGTGCGCGCCTAAGAGCAAACTTCAGTCGGTGATCACGTGCTTCCGCGTGAAGAAAGCAGTGCGTCGTATACCCGCGATTCGAGTGTCCGCGTTCGTGTCGTCGTGGCGTTAATTAGAAAATCGATCGTTTTACGCGCGTCTCGGTCCAACAATCGTAGTTCCATCGATAGTCCATAGTCAACAATTCGCGAAATCTGCGCTTATGAAATATGTCGTTTGTACGCAAGTATTATAAGAAGACGCCGGTCTATGTGGTCGAGAGCCACAATGAGGTAGGTATATTCGAACGGCGGGTACACCGCTCGCCGTTCTCATGTTTGTTTACCCTGAAAATGATGCGGCATAACGTCGCGGCGCTAGTGAAGCAGCGCGCGCTCCGAAATCGCCGCTGCATTGAATAAAATTCTAAGCGATATATGAAAGTATGCAGCCTGTTTGTGAAATAAAAACTCCACAACCTTGTAATACATAAGTCCATGATATAACCATAAAATGTATATTCACAAATATACCAATTAATTGACTGAACTTGAACAGGATTGTTAGCTGTGAATGTAGATGCGATTCATACGCAACAATTGACATGTACGTTGGTTTCGATTATCGCTTGTTGATTGCGTGTGTGAGTCGCGTCGGTATTCTGCTCGTTAGTTCGGTCCATCAAATCTGTGATTTGTGCGCGATGCAAATGCGAGATTTAATTTTCAAATGAATATTTTGTGTATTCTTCGTGTTTTACGATATTCTCAGGTTTTGCCGCTAATCTATCGGTGCATAGGGTCAAAGCATCTGCCCTTCGAAGGCAACACTATGATACATCTGGATTCGCATCCCGATATGTTAGCATCAGATTCTATGTTGGCCGATGTAGTCAGCAATAAGCATCAATTGTTTGAGTACGTATATATATAAGTATTATACAATATATATCTGTTCTTTATTGGTGAAATATTATCAAATTTATCAAATCTAATATAATTTTATCTTGAGAAAATTTAGAAGCAAAATTTAAAAAAATTTTTATATATACGTTAATATACCATGAAATAATTACTTATTAAAGAGGGGTTGCTGATTTAATTTTGATGCGTCTAAATTTCATTGCTACCAACATGTGAATATATTTTTTGTTTGTAACAATGGCGCATTGTTACAAATAAAAAAACATGGTGTCAGTAGTGCAATGATTGACCGCTGGAGTACGGATCTCTGATTAGTAGATCTAGAAATAAATGATCATAGGTAACTGTTACTCAACAGTTGTGCGCAATTGTCGGATTTTAGAACGTACTTTTATTGTAAATAATATTATATTTGCATGTTGGTAGCATTGTAATTTAGAATAAATATGGAGAATAACGGCACGGCATAATTATAAAACGTATCACTTTTAATTTACGTTTCTTACAGTAATCGAACATTAATTCTGCAACATAAGTGAGGTAATGATTACTTTAATAAATTTGATCACTATTTCCAATACGTCAATAAACTTTAACGAACCGTTAAAACTTGTATAAAACCGACAAAATCGCTAACATAAAGAATGAAATATCGTCATCAAAGGAGAAAAAAAACTTTTCTCTTTCGATGACGATATTTTATTCATATTGGCAATTTTGTCGACAAGTTTTAACGCGCTGTCTGTCGAAGTTAATCGACACACCCCAAGTAGTAAATGATCGTCATCTGACGTCTTTTTAATAATTAATTATGACGATATTTTGTTACTTGGGACGTTGAAAATAGCCATCCTTAATGTTGCACAAAAAGTGTAATGGATTATTATTATTGATATAGTATATAAAATATTAAGAGAAAATTTATCTTGTATTTTACATAGAAATCTAAAAGTATATAAAATATATACCAAAATTGCATCTCCTTCATTTATCAGTAATAATAAAGAAATTGAGTATATTATTAGTACAAAATATCTTATTTTACATATTTATATATGTTTTATATATTTTTGTGTATTTTTATGCATTTTTATATATTTTTATCTTCTTTTTCAGTAAGTAGTTATGCATCGCTCTCATTGTTATTAGATATGCAATAGAACGCGTTTCAAGTATGTATGGGTACACAGGGCAAAAATATTACAATAGAAATGTAAACGTAACTCTATGAGTTGCGATTTCTTATAAAAATAAATACGTCTCGCTATCCGCTTCCATGCATTCCGTGTATCGATTGATTGTGAGTTTTTACGCTTTTGTTAGGGAACGGCAATCGTGTGTTAAAGATTTTTTAAAATTAATTGCAATTAAGATTATTGAATCATGCTGATATAAAATTGTGGTAGCGCATATTGTTACTAAAAATCTAGGAATTATAGTTCATGTTTCATGAGTAATTTTATTTTAGAAATAATTTATTTGACATTTATTATTTTAATTACTATACTATAACGTATAAACCAACAGTCCTCAAATATTACATAATATGATATGCAAACATGATAATATACATTGCAAGAAAAAGCGAGAGGAAAAGATACATGCTTTTTATTTTATGAATAAGTTTTATTAACGAATAATTATCGGGAATTTTTCCAGTGAACTTAGCATCGGAGATTGGATCTTGCCAGCAATGTATGCAGGTCATCTTAAGAATATCATCTGGGTGAAACCACCGTGGGCTAATCAGATGACTGATGGTATGCGGACGTTCCTCATCGGTAAAGACAAAAGGACCGAGTTGATAAGGTAAGTGGTTAATGTAGATTTGTTTTGTTGATTTGCGTTTTGTGAACCACTTGTACAATGATATAGGGAAAATAATGTAGGCATGGCGTATAGATAAAATAGAAAACTGATAAAATTAAGATAAAACAATACATAGTACTTAAAATATTTGTTTCACGACTTGTTACTGATTGTTGTGCAATTTGTATAATTGGAATCATTAATACAATATCATTTTATCTATAAAAATAATATAAGTAGCAAAACGAAAACCATTAAAACACGCGAGATAGTAAAAAATAAAGAACTAGAATATAATACTTTTTACATCAAGTATTACAAACGACTTATTCTAAATTTCGTAAAATGCATTTAAAATTCGTTTTTAAATCTCGTTTGATATTTCCTCATAAATAAAATTTTCCGGCAAACTGAGCATTAGCTTTGAACTCCTAACATTAGAGAGTTAATTATCGTGCCATTATGCGGCGGTTTAAGATGGAACGTTATAAAATCCAATTATCGCGGCACTTGCTACGGCGATTTAACTTCGTAAAAGACATTTCACACGGTTGAAAGGTGGTACACGCGTGCGGCAGCGAAAAGTCATCACACTCGGCAAAGGAGATGGGCGGTAGGGGGGTTGACGACTCGGGAGAAGCGAGCGAGCGGGGAGGAAAAAGGCAACTAAAGTAGCAAAAGGGAAGCCGACACGCCGAGGCGATATATGCCGCGAAAGACCGGCACTTGTGATTCAGCGGTCCGTCAGGACTTGAGTTATGTTTCTCAAATTACATCGTGAGGGATATATATCCCTGTATCCCGTGATGAGTGAAGCACGTGGAATACGTCGCTATCATGATCTTTCTCCATTTATATTTTTATTGACGATAGTTATATGTGTTTTTGAGATGAGATTTTGAAATGCAATATTTTATATTTTACATTTGCAATATTTTACATTTTACATTTGCAATATTTTACATTTTTTACTTCGATATCAAATTCATTTTTTAGTAAAGTAAAGTACAAATATGTGTACTTAGGCAGTACAGAATGGAAAATATCTGTCTGTTCAAGCGTTGAAAATATTAGCAATCTTTTCTGGACGATATATATACCTAACTGTGATATATCTTCTATGTATATAAATTTTTTTCACGATATATACTAATTAGTATAAGTGATTAATACGAGATTATATACATTTGCCGAATTACAAAATTTATCCAATTTGGAGCAGCGGTATCTGAAAACATGCATACAATTGACCCGAATTACACTTATTTTCGAAATTTGCAACTTAAAAAAAAGAAGATGGAAAAAAAAAACAAATTATGTGTCGCGAAAAGAGGTTAATGGTTTTGGCGATATAATAACGGGAGTTCGGATGGGGACAGCGCTTGTAATATCAAATTAATGAGCGCGGCAACTCGTTATATTGAATTACGCTCGAAAAAAATTTCTCAATTATTGATAATTGCACCGTCATACCGGTCCTAAGCCTTCGGCAATGCGCGCGACACCGTGTCGATAAGATCAGAGGCGTGCGATCGCATCGCGGCTACTTTTTCGTCGAAGTTATTCATACGTAATTGCCTGTACCCACGCAGGTGCCTGTTCCGCATCATTCGATTTCCATCGATATTTATCCCGCAGCAACGTAAACTTCCCTACTCGCGTTGCGTGCAAGCTGCACTTTCTTCTTTCGTACACTTAATATAAGAGGCACGTGATATCGTTAATTGTCGCTAATTGTTGTTAATTGGCGTCATAACTTTATTCCTTAAATTGGAAGTTAATCGAAATTAAAGTGATTGGAGACTCTAACGCACGTTGAACGATATTGATATTTGGCACTTTTGCAATTTATAAATTTCTGGCATTTTATTTATATAATTTTATTTGTATAAATTCTATTCGCAAGGACATTATAATATTCTGTCAGTCATTATAATAGTCTAGCTGTTTTGCACTTGTTATCCTTTTTTAATCTATATATATGTATATAAAAATCAGACTATTTTAAGAAATATTTCAATCTGATGCCATCGTCTTTATCCTCGCCGAGCTTTTTCCTCTTATGTCAAAGAGGGATCTAATTGTAAGAAGGCCAGTTGCGTGGCGGATTGCGACAATGGACAATGGCGCAATAATCTACAATAGAGATCCGCCTGGAGATTCCGTACCGAATGAATAGGGCTCGTAGGACAATCATCTCGTAAACTCGGCTTCTTTATGTGCCCTTCTCATCCACCCCGCGGATTGTTCTTTTTGTGCTCTGTTTCACGTTTCGTGGTTCTCTGCACAGAGCGGTACTTGAATCGCCTACTTATGCGAAAGTGTCGAGTAAGAAGAAAATCGTCCAGGCTTACGTGCAGAATAGTTTCTAGGTGAAATATTATAGGATTGGAGGTAGCATCTGATACTTTGTATTCGACGCTATTTCACACTTGCTTTAGCTTTCTTCCTCTTTTGCGTATATTAAAATTAGAAATATGTTATATTTTTATGTCGAAACATGGAATGTTTTTACGGGGTTTATTGTTTTGCTAAATAAAAATATAATCAGTGACGACACGTGCCTCGACTTGCACAAAAGTATGATATATGCGTAGATTTTGACGTGGACTAAACCTGGCTATAAATTAATCGACATTCCACTTGCCAATCTTTTTCGCGGCTGTCTCTTACCTGCTCTTTCTCTCTCTATGTGGCTTTAACGGCTTTCCACCTTTCTCTTCATCAATCTAACTTGTTTCTATCGATCCCTTCATGCCAGTCGGTTCGGACTCAAATACTTCCTTGTATTTCGAATAACTTCGAGTTGATCGTAATGAAAGACACCATCGCACTCGAAGAGAATATTTTACCTTAGCGCGGTAGTAATGGTATAATATTGCTTTATGGTGCATGAACAGAACATGTTTTTAACATAGTCCTTCCTTACACTAGTATGATATTCATATGCGAGTTAAAAGTTTTTTTTTTGGTGCATACAACCAGTTTTATAGATCACTTGTGGTTAAAAATACCAACATATTCCGATAGTAAGGAAATATTGAAGATGTAAGAAACTTTTATTATCACTACAGACATTTTTGCACAAATATAAATCACTGTAGTTTTACTAAATAAATTTGCGTCAACTTTTTTCTTTATCTTAGAAAAGAATAAAGTTATAATCGTAGAATTGTGCGCAAACATTGATATAACGAAATAATTCTTATATCAACGTTAATTATAACGTTATTAAAACATACTATATTACAAAAGATTTAAAACTATAATCTAGAAAAAAAATTAATGTAATTAATTTTTGTGTAAGTTAATTTAAACTTTTATTGCAAGTGTCAGTATGCAACTTCTCGTAAATTGCCGAACATTTCATATTTATTTTTACGTAAATCTGAAAGAATATATTTAAAGATTTCTATATGTGAAAACGCTTCAAATATTTTTTATAAAATAATCAGAACTTTTCTCTGAGATATTTTTCAACTTGGAGCACAATTTTGATATTGAGTTTGCAATATTATCTGGTGATATTTATTATCTTATTGTAAAGCGTAGATTTTTTAAATCACGCATATGGTGTGCGCTTTTAATCTAGATAAAGGAATTGATCGTATCGAAAACTTCTTTGAACAGTAAGAAACTTCAAACATTGCGCAAAACAGTTAATTTTAGCATAGGTTATTTCGAATTAACATAAATTCTTCGCGTAGAGCAATTGGAGGGCGTGACATCGCCGATCCCAGCTCGATAACGTATACAGCTTACGGAGATTACATTAATCGGTGTCGCACGTGGCATGCGTCGCGCGTTGCATTTGTTGCATTCGAGGTCGTGGTATTCCTAGACGTTATTTCTAGCGTTAGAGGTCGTCCAATCATCGTAGCCTTGATTGCATTCAATGGTCGACGATGGTACACTTTTCAGGAAGAGGTAGTCCAACTGGTGTCAGAGTAGGAGGACAAAGAGTAGTTGTAGTGGGAGACATTGTAGTGGATGGCGAATGCAATTGTCAGCCATCACACCTTCCTTGCTGCGAAAGAGAAGAGCATTAGGATAATAGTGTTGTCACGTTGCAAAAGAATAATATCGACGGCAGTAACAAGCAACAATTAAAGTTAGCAGTTTCTAAAAAATAAGATCTTTTTTCAGTTCACTTTGTATCTCGTTTCATTTTTTTGCAGCCAGTATTACAAAAAAATTCCTCTGCAGATCTTTGATTTAAGAATCTATCTATCGTAAATAATAAAAATTTTTACATATATTTGCTGTACGCGAACACGCCTTTATTTAGTAGAAAATCGAACGCGGCGAAAATTGCTTGAATATTGCTCTCACAATCAAGAAAAAGAATAGGTGAAAATCTTAATTTCTAGAGCCGGTAAGAGCTGAGATAATAGGACGTATGTTTAGAGAGGACTCAAAGTGACGATAGGGCAGGTCAGGGCCGGGAAGGTTTAACGGCGAAGGTGGCACAACAGGCCTTAAGTCGCAGGAGCGTGGGTGCTGGCTGACATATCACGACCGTCGTCAGGTTGCTCCACATATATCGGCGGTTCTTGGTTAAAACAACAAAAAGGGGCCGCCACTTGCATAGACCAATCGCGAGCGTGGCTGGCGCACGACTCGACCCGTAGAAATTAGCATCGACCCCGCAAAGATCGAGTTCTCGATCTCGATCCTCCTACTCCCTTCCTCTTCGCTTACCTCTTCCACCAAGTCTTTCTCCATTACCAATTGATTCGTTAAGACTGTTTCTTAGTAGGCCGTTAAATATGCATTAGGATAACATTTCTCAATTGCTTTGGTGTCTCCGCCAACCAGTTATGTAAAGCACAAAGTGTAACATGCATTGAATGCATTAATTAGAACATTTAAATCCAAGTACATACACATATGTGATTTTAGCTACGATACAGATGATATGATTGATGAGATGACGTAGATTCTCTTTAGATATATAGATAGCGGAATAGTATTTTTTATACAGTTGAATTTTTAATCTA